CCTCGATACCCGCCCTCTTCGTCTTCGATCGAACCCCTTTGGGGGGTTATACCTTTCTACCCTGCAAGCCAGGCCCCAGCAAGCGGCGGGGCGGCCGCGGACCGTCGGCCTGGCCAGCGGCAGCGCTGATCCGCGGGGCGGCCGCGGACCGTCGACCCGACCCCAAGAGGGCCGGACAGGGGACCGACCACGACGACGACGACGACGACGACGACGTCGACGACGACGACGACGACGGCGACGACGACGGCGACGACGAGCGAAAGCGAAAGCGAAAGAGAACGACAGCAGGGCCACGAAGGACACGAAGTAGGCCACGAAGGGCGACAGCGGGGACACGAAGGGAATGCGCATGGGGCCACGAAGAGCGCGAACGAGCGGGGGCCACGAAGGGCAGATAATGCGGGGCCACAGAAGGCAACGATGGGGCCACTGAGGGTAGCAACTGGGCCACGTAGGACAATGAGGGGGCCACAAACGGCGACAGCGGGGCCACGAAGGGCATGCACATGGGGCCACAAAGGCGCGACTCCTAGGTGCCTGGGTGTCGGGTGCGCGGCGCTTGGGCAAATTGCAAGAAATTCCGACGCAAAGGCGCTATTCTTCAGCAAATTGCAAGCAAGTCTCCAGCGAGAGCGCGACTCCAGAGCGCCGGGAAAACGATTCCTGAATAAAATGCGACGAAGTCTCGGGCGGGAGCGGGGGTCATGGCTAAATTGTGAGGAAGTCTCAGGCGGAAGCCGTTGTTGTTGTAACCCGGGGGCCAGGGGCCCAGTTTGAGCATCAAGACGTTCCTGCTCAAAAAAAATAGGGTGCGAGCGTCGAGGGGCACACTCTGATTGAGAAAAAACAATCTGCACCGGTGGGGGGATCAACCATAATTATTCCTCAGAAATGAAATTTGGAAAACAACAACAACAACAACAACAACAACAACAACAACAACAACAACAACAACAACAGCAACAACAACAACAACAGCAACAACAACAACAACAGCAACAGCAGCAGCAACAACAACAACAACAATCATCATTTTAAGACTGTTCGCCCTTATATTCTCGAGTGTCCAATAACGCGTATTTCCCAAACCCTCGATACCCGCCCTCTTCGTCTTCGATCGAACCCATTTTGGGGGGTATACCTTTCTGCCCTGCAGGCCGGGCCCCAGCAAGCGGCGGGGCGGCCGCGGACCGTCGGCCTGGCCAGCGGCAGCGCTGATCGGCGGGGCGGCCGCGGACCGTCGACCCGACCCCAAGAGGGACGGACAGGGGACCGACCACGACGACGACGACGACGACGACGCGACGACGACGACGACGACGACGACGACGACGACGCGACGACGAGCGAAAGCGAGAGCGAGAGAGAACGACAGCAGGGCCACGAAGGGCGACAGCGGGGACACGAAGGGAATGCGTATGGGGCCACGAAGAGCGCGAACGAGCGGAGGGGAACGGAGTGCAGATAATGCGGGGCCACAGAAGGCAACGATGGGGCCACTGAGGGTAGCAACTGGGCCACGTAGGACAATGAGGGGGCCACAAACGGCGACAGCGGGGCCACGAAGGGCATGCACATGGGGCCACAAAGGCGCGACTCCTGGGTGCCTGGGTGTCGGGTGCGCGGCGCTTGGGCAAATTGCAAGAAATTCCGACGCAAAGGCGCTATTCTTCAGTCAATTGCAAGCAAGTCTCCAGCGAGAGCGCGACTCCAGAGCGCCAGGAGAGCGATTCCTGAACTCTGTGGGGCGTCTTACAGGCGTCTTACAGGCGCTTCTGCGAGGCGTCTTACAGGCGTCTTACAGGCGCCTCTGCGAGGCGTCTTACAAGCGCTTCTGCGAGGCGTCTTGCAGACGCATCTGCGAGGGTGTTACAGGCGTCTTAAAAACGCACATCTCGCGACGCTGATCTCAAAGATGCCGCGTGCGAATTCCTCTCGTTTCGCGGGGTGCGCGTCCTGACCACGTACAATCCAGTCGTTGCGGGGACTCCTGGGGGCCTCTTGGGGGCCTCTCGGAGGTCTCTTGGGGGCCTCTTGTGACCTCTTGGAAGTTTCTTGGATGTATAATTCAGCGGCTTACGCCGCACTGCCGAAGCGACGGCCTGTCGGACCGCGTTTCCTGCACTGACTCATCATTCCAAAGCCTCCTCATCTTTCTTGAGCCTCGTCCTCATGCCTCTGTTTTCCCCGCAGCATTCTGCTCCTCATTTCTCAGCTTCCTCCTCGTTCCTCACCCGCGTCCCCCTGATTCCTCAGGCTCCTCCGCATTCCACAGCCTCCCCCTCATTCCTCAGCCCTTTCCTCAATCCTCTGCCCCTTCCTTCATTCCTCAGCCTCCTCATTCCACGGGTTCCACCTCATTCCTCGGCCTCCTCCACATGCCCTGACCCAAGGATGATCAGGCAGAGGATTCGGAAAGAGTGGGGGAAAAAAATGCGAATGGTGCTGACGCCTGACCGTTGGCCACATCCGGGGTTGGGAACTGTGCAGTCGTCTGGGCGCTGTCCACATCCCTGATTGCGAGCGGTGCTCTCGCTCGAGCGTCGGCCACAACTACATACTAGGACCCTTACTGCTTCCAGCAGGGCTGTCCGGCTTGTCCAGGGACTTGACTCTTTCCTTTTTCCTCGAACATTGCTTGCACTTGGGGGTTCTCACATCTGGTCTAAAGAACTGGGCTTTGCAAAAAAAAACGATTGCAAAAAAAAACTGGATTGCAAAAAAAAACAATGATTGTTTTTTGCAAAGACTGGGTTGTTTTGCAATCCTGGGTTTTTGTTGCAATCCTGGGTTTTTGTTTGCAATCCTTGGTTTTTGTTTGCGATCCTTCGTTAAAGTGTGTCGGTCTGGCGGCTCCGTCGCCGCCTCATCGCCGCCCGTCGCCGTGGCTTCGCCGTCGCCATCGCGTTGCGCTGCTCTGCGTCGCACTGTCTCGCGTGGTCTCCGTTGGTCTGCCCTGCATGTTGCGTTCCTCTTCGTTGCTCTTGGGTGCGTACATCGCACCACATGGATGAGCACGTTAGCTCCAAATCACGAAGGATTGATTGCAACGAAGGATTGCAGAAAAAAACCTTCGTTCAACGAAGGCTTTTTTGCAATCCTTCGTTCTACGAAGGTTTTGTTTGCAATTCTTTGTTTTTTTGCAATCCTTCGAGCACGCTAGCTCCAAATCACATAGACTGCACCCGGCGTTTTCCGTGACACCCTTGTTACGTGGACTGCCCCACTACGGCCCATTGCGCGGATCGTATGGCGCGGACTGCGCAACATGGCTTACACCACATAGCTTGCGCTGCACAGCGAGCACCGCATGCACTGCACCGCTTAGTATACAAGAAACAACCTTTGGGGGTCCACGCTGGCTAACAGTGTAGTATATGATTACACCTATTCTCTAGCACCGCCATCCACATCCACATATTCAGTTCCACATCATCGCAAACCGTTTTGGTACCAATTCCAGACCGGGCAGCCATGCTAGCTTCTCGAACTTATGTGCGCACATTTTCTGACCATTGGGCTTTAGGGTATAATGACATCGCATCACGCCTCACGATTAAATTTATATGGTGAGGCTGCTTGGACGGTCGGAATCAGTACCAGTTTGTCTCATCGTGCTGGTTGGAATAAGTATCAGTGCGTTGGTGTTAACCACAGCTGGTTGGGATGAGTCCGAGATGCGGGTTCACACACCCCTCCCTTTTGCACTTGGGCGATCGTCGGCCGTCGGGCCAAACGCTCGGAGCACGACTTCCCGAGGAGGAGCAGGGCAAGAAGGAGGGCGGTGATGGCGGAGGAGACCCCGCAGGAAGCTCACGAAAAGGGCTCCCTGGGGCCGCGGCCCCCCCCTCGTCTCAGCGGCCACCCCCATCTCATGGGCAGCGCCTGGTCGACAGTCGATCGGCTCCGAGGCCCGTCCCAGCGCCTCCGAGTCGTCAGCGCCGCTGCCGCCGACGCCACCGCCGCCGCCGACGTCGCCGCAGTATGCCGGGGGGGGGCTCGAAGCACACGCTGGAGTCGCACGCGGAACTCGCGGAGGTCGCGCGCCGGACGCGAGGAGCCTCGGGGCCCGAAGATCGGGATCTGGGAGCGGTGTTGCGCATTCCGTGTTGGGGCCTCTGGTGCGCTCCGCGGGAGGAGCCTCGGGCCCTCCCACACGTGATCGGCACGGGACCCCATCCGCACGCCGAGGGCCGCGCTGGGAGGACATGCGGCCATCCTGAGCAGAACAGGGTGCATTGCAGTAGAATGACTGGCGTATACTTTTCTTCAGCATCGAAAATGCTGACTCGAACCGCAGCCGACGCACACAACTGTGCATCCCAGCCGCGGAGGTGCCGGACTTGTCACCGACATCTGTCTCTCGAGAACGTTCCAGAATGCTGCATCCTTGGGAGCAAATACAACTCTTCAACACAATGATGCCCGCTGCACGCGGACGAGGTCTCCCTGTCTGCCTACGAGAACGGCGCTCATGCACCGGGCCATGTTGGTACTCCCTTCAGGCCCCGCAACAACGCGGCACGGTGCATACTTTTGTTTTTGTTCGTCGCTGGGCGCCGCAACGCGGCACGATGCACACACGTCGTCCTCGAAATGCGGAGCATGTGGCGGCGCAGAGTGCAAGTCAGCCACCAGCGGTTACGCGGATGCAGCGATGAGGGGGTCGCCCGCGCCCAGGCCCATGGAGGGCGGCCGAGCTCGCTGGAAACAAAAAACACAAATAATAAAAAACAATCCACGCCCATCGCTCTACATGGTTTGGCAGCGCGCACAAGGGGGTAGGGGCAGGGGGGAAGGCTCCTTAGAAGGAGGCTGCTTCTTAAAGGCGCAGGCCCTACATCTGTAGACACGGCCCGCGCCTTCTAAGAAGCAGAGGTGTTTCTAAGAAGCCTTGCCCGCTCCCCCGATCCCCCCCCCTGCGCGTGGCCGAATGGTACCAGGCGGGGGCATGATGACGTGATTCAGCGAAGTGGTGAAATAGTGCGAATCCATGCTCTGAAGTCCAGGTCCCGAGGGATCTCGAAACAGGCCTGACAGCACAAAGTCAAGGCAAGAGCCGAAGGCGAGAGCCGGGGGGAAGGAAATGGGCCCAGTGGAAAGTCACATAGCCTAACGTACGTAATACTAACATGGCTGATGCTGCGCGATAAAATATTTACCACACGGCCTGGCAGGAAGACAACGACAACGACGACGCAGGGAGGAGGAGGAGGAGGAGGAGGAGGAGGAGGAGGAGGAGGAGGGGTGCGAGCAAGAAGTAAAAGAAATACTCGACGCGGGCATCCCCATTAGAGAATACTTGCTCTGCCATTAAAATGTCAGAATGTCTGGATATCTGTGTGGCTGGATAGTATGAACAAAAGTGGGTATGAGTAGCTGCGTATGAGAGGATATGGGCGGTAGTGCCTGAATGTGTGTGACGCGTTGCGATCGCCTCTGAGTATGAGCGGTCTTAGTAGGAGTGCGTCTGAGTATGAGCGCAAGCGAGTCTGAGCATCTATCAGCGAGTCTGAATATCAGCGGTACAAAAGAATATTAGAGTTGGTGGGTGTGAGTATGAGGGGGTATGTGTACGAGCGCCTGAGTGTGAGTAGGTCTGAAGATGAACAGGTCCGTGCACGAAACGGTTGGGAAGTGAGATCGCAGTGGAACGGAGCCTCTCACTGGGATGGGCTTCGTGTTCGTGTCGCGCGTGCGGGCGAGGCGAAACTGCGTGGGCGCGCGGAAGGAATGATGCCGCCGTGGCCAGGGGCTGTGGAGCTGGTTGTCCGCCCAACCTCCCCCTCCCCCGGCGCGCGGTGGCGGGGGGTGTCCCGTCGGTTGCGCGTCGGCGTCCTGTCGGTGTCCCGTCGGTGGCGCGTCGGTGTCCCGTCGGTGTCCCGTCGGTGGCGCGTCGGTGGTATCGTCCTCGTCAAAACCACCAAGATTGCCAATGCCGTCGGTTGGTTATGTTTCTCCCCGAACCTAGGATAATTTTGAGCGTGAGGGCGGTTAAATCTGCCGAGCCCTCGGCGTGCGTGAGGCGCTGTCGTCGTCGTCGTCGCCAATCCCAAGGAACTTGAAGAACCAACAGGACCAGGAAGGTCGTAATTAAGTCGAATCCCTTCCCCCCTTTCTCACGTCCCTGACGGGGGGGGGTACGGGGGGGGGTCCGAGGGGAGGGGGTTCGGGTCGCCAGCGGGGGTCCCTGGGGATAGGTCCCACGTGGAGGGGGATGGTCCGTCCGTGGTCAGAACACCGCCCCCTGTCCGGGGTCCCAGCGGGCCCGGGAAGAGGTCGCCAGCGAGGGTCCCGGGCCCCGGGGCGCCAGCGGGGGTTCCGCGGGGGCGGCTCTGCCGTGGAGGGGGGTGGTCCCGGCCCCCCCCCCCCACCAAGAGGTCCCGGCGGGTCAAGTCCCCAGCGGGGGTCCCGTGGGAGATCCCACGTGGGGGGGATGATCACGGGTCGACATACAGCCCCCCGTCCAGGATCCTGGCGGCCCCTAGGTACGATCGCCAGCGGGGGTCCCGGGTCCCCGGGGGGGGTCCCCAGCGGGCGACCAAGTGTTATTGTGGCCCGTTGGGTGTTAGAGTGGCCAGACGCGCGGCCGGATGGGAGTTACTGTGGCCCGCGCTGGACATTCAATGAAAAGAAATATGTAAAAGGCATCTCATGTTGGACCAGAGGCGATTCGCAACCCTTAAAGGCATACACTCCCGCGCAGGCAACAGTAATAGTAGAAGTAGTAGAAGTAGTAGAAGTAGTAGTAGTAGTAGTAGTAGTAGTAGTAGTAGTAGTAGTAGTAGTAGTAGTAGTAGTAGTAGTAGTAGTAGTAGTAGTAGTAGTAGTAGTAGTAGTAGTAGTAGTAGTAGTAGTAGTAGTAGTAGTAGTAGTAGTAGTAGTAGTAGTAGTAGTAGTAGTAGTAGTAGTAGCAGTAGTAGTAGTAGTAGTAGTAGTAGTAGTAGTAGTAGTAGTAGTAGTAGTAGTAGTAGTAGTAGTAGTAGTAGTAGTAGTAGTAGTAGTAGTAGTAGTAGTAGTAGTAGTAGTAGTAGTAGTAGTAGTAGTAGTAGTAGTAGTAGTAGTAGTAGTAGTAGTAGTAGTAGTAGTAGGTAGTAGTAATAGTAGCAGTAGTAGTAGTAGTAGCACTCGTAGTACGAGTAATAGTAGCCGAAGTAGTCGTAATAGTAGTAGTAGTAGTAGTAGTAGTAAGAATAATGATAGTAGTAGTAGTACTGAATTAGTAGTAGTAGTAGTAGTAGTAGTAATAATAGTAGTCGTAGTACTAGCAGTCGTAGTACTAGTAGTAGTAGTAGTAGTAGTAGTAGCAGTAGTAGTTGTTGTTCTTGTTGTTTAATAATAGCGACTGCAATAGTCGTAGTAGTCGTAGCCGTAGTAATCGAAGTAGTAGTAGTAATTGTAGTAGTAGTAATCATGGTAGTAGTAATCCTAGTAGTGGTAGTAATAGTAATCGTAGTAGTCGTAGTAGTCGTCGTAGTGAAAGTAGTAGGAATGGTAATAGTAGTAGTAGTAGTAGTAGTAGTCGTAGCAGTAATAATAATAAGAGTAATAATTGCAATCGTTGGTAATCGTAGTAGTAGTAGTAGTAGTAGTAGTAGTCGTAGTAGTAGTGCTAGTACTAGCACTAGTACTGGTATTAGTAATAGTACTAATACAAATAGCAGTAGTAGACGTAGTCGTGGTAGCATAAGTAGTCGTAGTAGTAGGGGTAATAGTCGTAGTAGTAGTAGTCGTAGTAGTAGTAGTAATAGTAGTGGTAGTAGTAGCAATCGAAGCATCAGTAGTAGTAGTAGTAGCCGTCGTAGTAGTGGTAGTAAAGATAGTAGTAGTAGTAGCAGCAGTAGTAGTAATAATAGTAATAGTAGTAGTAGTAGTAGTAGTAGCAGTAGTAGTAGTAGTAGTAGTAGTGGTAGTAATAGTAGTGGTGGTGGTGGTGGTAGTAGTAGTAGTAACAAAGTAATAGCTATAGGTAGTCGCAGCTAGTAGTTAGTACTAGTACTAGTACTAGTACTAGTCGTCGAAATAGTAGGCAGGGAAAGAGGGGGAATGGAGAGGAAATGAAGAGGGAAAGAGGGAGGACGAGGAGTGCCATGGAATGGGGAGACGGAGGAAGGCGATGGAGTGGGGAGGACTGCGGAGGAGTGCCGAAGAGTGCAATGGAATGGGGAGGCACGGAGATAGAGAGGAGGGAGGAGGGTGGAGGGAGGAGGGAGAGCGAGGGAGGAATGAGGAGGAGGCAGGAGCAGAAGTGCCATGGAATGGGGAGGCAGAGGGAGAAGTGCATGAAGCGGGGAGGACTCCAGAGGAGTGGGGAGGAACGCCGAAAAGCAAAATTGAGGGAATTTCGAGGAGTGGGGAGGGATGCCGAGGAGCACGGTGAACTGCGGAAAAGTACAGAGGAGTGGGGAAGAGTGCGGAGAGGGGGAAGGAGGAATGGAGTGAAGTGCGGAGGAGTGCCGAGGAGGGCGATTGAGTGCGGAGAAATGGGAGGCTCTGGAGGGTTCCTTGGAGGCCTCTGGAGGGCTCCTTGGAGACCTCTGGGGGACGCTTTCGTGGACCCTTGGGCTTAGCTGCCCCAATGCGCAACACGCCGCACGGAACGTGGCCCAACACGTAGGTTCCAAACGGAGACCTGGCGGCAACGAAAAACGACATGGAGGGAGTTTCGAGAGGCTCTTCGGAGAGCCCAAGAGGCAATCCGGAGAGCCCAAGAGACTCTTCGGCCGCTCCAAGAGGCTCTTCGGCGGCTCGAAAAGGCTCTTCGGAGAGGCCCAGAAGCTCTTCGGAGAGCCCCAAAGGCTCTTCCGAGAGGCTCTTCGGTGAAGGGGGGGGTGGGAGGAGGCTCTTTGGAGACCCCCCCCCCTTCACCGCACTCGTTGATTAATACCCTCCGGAGGAACCCTGGCCATACTAACACCCACCGGGCCGCACTAACACCCAACGGGCCACAGTAACACCTGATCTCCCCCAGCGGGGCTCCCGGGGGAGGTCCCGCCTATGGTTTGGAGGGGAATGGTCCCGGGTCAGAATACAGCCTTCGCTGGGGTCCAGGCGGGTCCCAGGCGGGGTCGCCAGCGGGGGTCCTGGCCGTGGGAGGTCCCGCCTTCAGGGTCGACGGCAGTGGCCGTAAGGCCTTCGCAATAGGAACGGCTGAGCATGAGTGGGTCTGCGCGTGAGCAAATCTAAACATGCGTGACTGAATACGAATGAATGTCAATACGATTGGGCCTGAATATGGGTAGATCCGAATATCGGCGAATCCGAGCATAAGTGTGGGCCTCCTGGCTTCGTGGGGCCTACGAGACCCTCCTCGGGCCTCATCCAGCCTCTGGGAACCTCCTGGGGCCTCCTGGAGCCCTGGACGCTCCAGGTGCTTCCTGAAGCTTCCCTGGAACTTCCTAAGGGGGCCTCCTCGCACCTCCCGACGCTCCCTGGCGGCTGTTGGAGCCCCTCCTCGGACTGCCCGGGGTCTCCCAGGGCCTCCCAAAGCCTCTTTCGGCCTCCACGGGCTTCTCCTTGGGACCTCCGGGCCGGAGGAGGAGGAGGAGGAGGAGGAGGAGGAGGAGGAGGAGAAGGAGGAGGAGGAGGAGGGGAGGGGGAGGGGGAGGAGGAGGGGCAGGGGGAGGAGGGGGAAGGGGAGGAGGGGGAGGGGGGGAGGAGAAGGAGGAGGAGAAGGAGGAGGAGGAGGAGGAGGAGGAGGAGGGGGAGGGAGGAGGAGGAGGAGGAAGGAATCGCCAAACCCTTGCAAAACTGCGCCCACTGCCTCAGGAGCCTTCCTGCGGCCTCCCAGCGCCCCCTTGCGGCCTCTCCAGGGCACTCCCTGGGGGTCTCCTGGCGCCTCCCGTGGCCTCGCGGTGCGTCCTCGGATCTCCTCCTCGGGCATCCCGAAGCCTCGTTGGGTTTCGTGCAGACGACGACGACGACGACGACGACGACGACGACGACGACGACGTCCTGGGACATCTTGGGCCTCTTGGAGGCTCTGGGGGCCTCCTGCCACTCTTTCCGAAGGTCCCGACCA